CTTGCGATGAATTCGACAACAATGCTCGCATAATGTCAATGTTTGACTTTTTATGGTGGTCAACACTGCTGTTTTCAGCATGCAATCCAGAAGTGGTCCACTTTTCCACTATTTCACACACTTCAAACGATGACCATTACTTTGATCTAGGGTTTGATGAACATGTTTGCAAATCCTCAGCGCAAGTCAAGCAGTGTTCCCAATAGAGCCCCTCTTTTGCTCCTCTGTGAGAACCAACTAATTACTCGGCCAAATACGATATCACCAGATGGTAGCTTCTTACTCTCTTTCTTTTTCACCTGGATTCGTTTTTATACACCACGGTAGCGTAGAACTTACTTTGCAAGTAAGGTGTTGTTATAATTCTAGAAATAGAGAATTTCTAATTAATAGTAGATTTGTTCAAAACTATGATTTGTTCCCATTCGGAGAAAGATTATGAGAAAACGTTGAACAATAACAATCCCCATAAAATATTTTCAGGACTAGATTGATTGAATGATGTCTATGATGATCGCTTAATCAAAGTTAATGGGAAAGCCTTGTAACTAAAGCAGATTGTGTCCAACTATCAACAGTAAACCATTTACTGGAAACGCCCAGCGCTTCCTTTATATTTACTCTAACACATTCAGCAAGCTTACCTTGTACTTTCATTGATTTGTGTTCAATATCAACTGTTTTATGTTGTATGAGATGAGGTAGAAATCCTTGGGCCACCCAAAACAAACACTCCAGTCAACAACTGATTCAACCCATGAGTTTTGGGGCTTCCTTTTGTGATGAACCGTCTGTTACCCAAATTCACTCTACCAATTGTTTTACTTCCATGCGACAGTGTGGCTTCGTTCAATAAATCGTTTTATCGCACAGACTCAAATCCAGCTGATTTGAAGTGCTTTCAGCGTCCTGTTCGAAACGATACAACGATATTCCAGTGGTGTGCGTGTGCGAAATGGATGCATCAGTGTAATAAAAACACCCACAAAAATCAAAGAGTTAGCTTGAAGATAATTTACCGCAAAGCTGCGTTTTCGAATTTTGGACAAGCACTTTTAACATTAGGTTAGAGTACAATTATTTATCCTCTTTGTTCAGCTCACGGTTACAAGTAACCGAAAACTCCATGAAGAGACTTCATACGAGAGAGAGACACCTTACAATACAACGTCCGGTTGACATAAACTCGGCCATGCAGCTCTGGTTCAGACCACTTTGAAAGCCCAGCTTTAACATCATCCTGTTATGAACATCAGATGTGGCTAATTCTGAGACATCCCCTTGTCAGCTCATTCACATTATTGTAACCGAATCAATCACGGTGTCATAAAGCAATTTGAATTTCATAACTGGCTTCACCTGTCACCACGCATTGGTAACTATTATCTAATCCATTTTGGAATTTAAACAAACCAAGTAAAATTTGCACACAGCTTATACAAACAAAAACTCATTCGAGAAACGCCTGCTCTATAATCTCACACTTTCTTTTTAAAAACATTGGTTTTACGAATGATTAACTAACAAAGGAAACATGGCATGCGCTTAGAAATACATCACGTTTAGATGTTGAACTGGATCCCTATGTGTGCGTGTGGAATGGTCCCGGTGGCTAAAATGATTAGCAATCCTGTGGTTGTAGGCTATAAATCCCATTTGGATTTCTTCCCCGTACTCTACACCAATTTATAATGGCCTAAAACTCTTTTCTTCTCGTTGCGAGGTAGAGCAATTATTGTGGTTTTCGCTACATTTAACCAAAAAGAAACTATGACAAAAGAAAGCGCCACTGAACTAGAAACAATCTGAAACTGGCTCATTCATATGTGTGGTCAGCAGATAGTGGTTGATGCATTAGGATTCTCAAGTTATCAGCTTTCAGACGAATACGACAGTGTGCCCGCGTTCTCTTTGTCATGAACATTGATTCACGAAGACACCACGTGATACAAAAACGGTTCAGAAGGCTCCACCCACATGCGCACACGCAGCATCATTCGACGGAACGTGCATAACAGCTTAATGGTGTTTTTAATCGGACTGGAAAAAACTTCAGCTTGCAGACAGACTCTAATGCAACTGAATCACCGTATATGATGCGCCAATCTCCTTGGTTCTAGTGACCTGATGTCGAACGTTCTCCGTCTACCGCATTAAGTGAACTGAGGTGTTAGGAAAACTCAACTCTCTGATAATTAGAAACTCGACACAAATCAGTTTGATAACTAATGTCTGCTGTAAACAAATTTTGGTAATTTCCGAAACTTTCATAGGACTGATTTGCGAATCCTACACTCACTCTGCACAGTACACACCATCACGAATGAACACAGCTTCAGAGCTGAACTCGTATTCTGAAAGATCAGTTGTTTTGAGCTTTACCAAGCTTATTTCGAAACAAATTATCTGCCAGTGGACGTTGTCAATAATTAGGCTTCTTTTCCTATTCAAATGAGCAAAAATAAACTACCCCGAGAAGCACATGTCAACCTGAAAAAGTACTAGTAAATAGATGTATATATGTGTAGTACCAAATGCTAAATTTACACTTGCTCATAACCTGAGGACGTTCTAGGTATTTCGAATTTTCAATGTCAGACAATAATACACAAAATAAGCACGGTTCAGATATCCTCCACGAAAAGTTCTTGCGGTTACCAAGTGCTTGATGGTGAGTGCTTGAAGAAACGATGCACTGCGTGGATAATCTCTCCGCTGAATTTTCTTCCCGCACCTAACGTATGCAAATGCTTGGATATAGACACACACACAAGAGCGCTTAGATTCCGTTCACGGTTGATGTACTCTGTGATCCCTGCGATCTTTGTTTGGATTGTTTCTCATCGTCAATCGTGAAACATTTTGAGAACTATCTTTCGGATCGAATAAACGTGTAATGTGACCATTAGAATATTAGTTTATACAAATCTGTAAACTAATTGATACCAAGTCTAAATAACAACAATGGAATGCAAAAAACACCATCAGTGAACGATACTCTACGAAGGAAAACGATGTAAGCTCATTTCTTTGTAATAAGATAATTTTCCATCATAGGGCTGGTCAGTGTGATCCTTAACGTGCACTCCGTTGTGTTTTTTTCCGGAGCAAGCCAAGGGAATTTTTCACATTATTCAGTAGCAGTTGGCACATGGTGAGAATGATGAGTTCAGGAAGTTCACCTTTTGCGTATAGAAATTCATCGTAGTTCTTGCGTATGAATGAGTGCATGTGAACCATGGTCACCACCTCGTGTGATTTTAGCTGAAGGGTTAGCATTCAGTACCCGACCGATGCATGGAAGCAGGAAGTTATTTTCTTCGCGGATGTTAAATATGGGATGATAAACTTTCAACCGAGGCAAGCAACGATGTTTCTGTAATATTCACACACTTTTGCGTGCCTTGTGTGAATGAGGATGACTGTGTGAGTGCTGGGAAATATTCAGACAGGAGGCCAAACCTGAATCATTTTCTGCAATATGTTTGACTACTTTATCTTTATTAGTACATACATGCATTAAAGAAAGGATTTTTGCAGATACAAAGCCAAACAGCCAATAGAAATTTTGAAAAATTCCTATAGTTTCAACGGAAACACAAAGAAGGTTTTCATCGCAAATCTCCAATCAGTTAACGTAGTTTTGAGGATGTGATGTTCTTAGATAGTTCATTCGGGAGATCAAAACGATGTTTCGATACCATGTTCCGTGGTTTATATGCCACCAACAGGAACGACTTTAACGGGATGCCATTCATGTGAAAGCCTCGACAAAATCTCATCGGTTATACGTGTCCGGTATGTTCTCATTCAGTCGGACATATACTTCATGTCTGAACCAGAAAGCACCGTGTGCCATCAGGGACGTTTTGGTCAGCCACTCAACTACTACTAGTCAAAACATGTTTAAAAAATGACACCCGGCTGAATTTGTCGCTGTTGGTAAGGTCTAGTCTCCGCAAAACAGTGGATCGAATAATCAACTTGATTCACTACTGGATTGATTAAAAAAATCATATCCGCTGTCCGCGTCACTGATTAAAGATTCGTAATAAGAATATACATTCGGGAAATTTCATCTAGTCATCCGCGTACCAATTGTTACAGCAAACGGTGAGGCACAGAAGTCTATATCATAAATTTCGAAATCAATCATGTACAAAAATAGGCGTATTTATAAATTTGGTAAACATGATCGCGATGGGCTCAACAAATACACGAAAGTAAAACAAGTTCAAAGTTTAATTTTAGATATTGAAGAGGTGAAGGGTCAAAATGCAATTTTTAGATTAGCAATTTTCAGTAGAGTTTTCGGTACTTGTTCTGATCCGCACACCGATCGAGCAGCCTGTTGTACCTTTTCCCTTCCATCGCTATTTGTGTCCCGGAAACTTAAAAACTCGAGCTTACTTGATTGCCGTTTACCTGTTGAACTAATCATTATGATACCTACAATTTGTGCTTTCCCTACTTTCTTTCCTTCCTGATGAACTTATAAAAACTATTTTCTTGGACTTCGCCTTTGTATCTTGATAAGCATAGAAGAATGTATACTAGCATCCACATAACCAGAGGTGACTTCAGAACTATCAGCACCAAATTTGTTTTCCTGAAAAACAAAATTTTCGATATAAAACCTGCAGCTAACAGTCGAATGTGGACACTTCATATGGCTCTATTGGTTAGCTAATAGGCTCCAACTGCTTGCTAAGACAAACATTGTATTATTCACATGTGATTTAGTGTGTGCTCGTGTAACATATCGTCGTAGGTAGGTTATATAATCACATAGTTTCGAGTCATAGTTCAATCTATGAATCGTTCGTTTTAAAGCGGCACAAGTGGTCTCCTAAGAAGTGAGATCGAATCTCACCGAAGCAATGGCTGGGTTCTCAGATAAACTCAATTAGAATGTACGTCAAAAAAACAATGCACAATGTTCATTTCAGACTGACTCACCATTATCCATTGACTCAAGGATTATCCCCATCGTGGCAAATTTAATCGAGCTCTTTGTGTCCGTTACACACATCGTCCCACAGCACATCCAACTCGGCCTGTTTTTGTTTATACCGATATTTACTGCATGCGGGATTTTCTGCAACCCACTGTTTAACACTGTTATATTTCTGTTGCAACATGTCATGATTGGCATCCGAGACAGAACCGGATGCGAATTCTCTGAGCAACTGTTTACGTTTCTTCTCGACATATTCCAGCAATGACTGTTTCACAAGTGCTAAATTTCGATTTTCCTGATCTTCCAATAGTAGTTTTTTCCCCTCCTCGATCATCTCCTCAACTTCTTCTTCGGTCAGAGAGACGGAAGGATTTTGGATATTTAGTTTGACAACATTATAGCCGGGCAAGGTGGTTGAAGAGGAAATTTTCAGGATACCGTTGCGGTCTACATGAAATGCAAGGCATATTTTAATTTTACCCGCTGCCTCTGGTGGTAGATCCGAGATTATGATGGTCCCAATATCGTCATCATACTTGGCCAACAAATAGTCTCCAGCCAGCAGATTAAATCGTACGGTAGACTGCTTGAGAAATGCTGTTGTGTAAGTCTTGTAGGCTTTCAGAGGCAATATTCTATTCCGCTGAACGATTGGATTAAAGGTGTCATCATTCACTTCAACACCCAAACTGTGTGCGATCACATCCGTAACACATGGTCTGAATTTGGAGTCAAATCCGTTGGTTTGTTTGGACTCTTCAAAATTTCTTGCGAACACGCCGGTTCCATAAACTACCGCCTCTTCTGGGCTCAGTAGGCGATTGAGAGTTCGGCCACCACAGCAATCGGAAATTATTGTCTGAACTTGTGGAATTCGGGAGGATCCGCCGAGCAAAATAACATCGTCGATTTCCTGTACTTTCAAGCGCGATTCACGTAGCACAAACTCCAGCAATGCTTGAATTCGTTTGAATAGACTCTGGCATAACTGTTCAAAACAAGGGCGTGTGATTCGGGACGTAAAGTGTATTCCTTCATGCAGGTCATTCAAACTGATATGAGCCTGAGGTTGAACACTCAATGTGCACTTGGCAACATCACATGCTTGACGTAACCTTTCCATGGCTTGTTTATTCACTCTCAAATCGGTTCCGTACTTATTCATGAATTCTGTGGCAAAATGATTCATCAACCGATTCGTAAAGTCCTCTCCACCTAATGCATTATTTCCTGTGGAAGCAATCACGTCAAACGCCTCATCGTTGACCGACAAAATGGATACGTTTGTGGCACCCCCACCCATATCGAATACGAGTAACTTCTGTGGTGTTTTACATTCCATCTCCACCCGGTAAGTAATCGCCGCTGCTGTGGTCTCATTCAACAAGCTCACCACACGCATTCGAGCAACGCGAGCCGCATTGATCAGGGCCTCTCGTTGACATGTGTTAAATGATGCTGGACAAGACAGTACTACATCCGTGANATCCGTGACCGGTTGGCCTTCGAGACGTTCCTCGGCCATTTGCCGTAAACGTTCCATCACCATGGCTGCCAGTTGCTCCGGTGCAAATTCTCGTTCCACATGTCGATACATCACATTTACCACTGTTCTTTCTTCGACATAATCCAATTCAAATGGCCAAACAGATTGTTGCTGCATTTGAACCACTGCAGCTTTGGCTCGACCCATTAAACGTTTTATGTGAAAAACACGATTTTGCACATTGGTTTCGGTTCGAGACCAATCAGTTCCAACCAAACGTTCACAAGCGGTGAATTGTACCGTACTAGGTATCCCTGGTAGTGAACCGTTTGTCGATGGTGAGGCTGCCTCGATGGGGAGACGAAGAACCTCAATTTGGCCACCAATCGGGATAGCCACTGAACTGAAACTAGTGCCAAAATCAATACCAATCACAGGCATCACTAGCCATAAATCGCGTGACAGGAAACGGATCTTACACAACCATGAATGAGCTGGAAAACAATGCACCTCATTGTCTACCACTTTTATATTTCTGCTTACTCACTTGTTTTCATTCGTTCATTCGTTTGTCTACGTAGATCGCGTGCATCACCTCTGGCCTACCCGTGCGCTATCCGCCCACACATGTCCCGTGGTCTTCTCCAATCCATGTTATTTGATATGGCTTCATGTGCATGTGCACGTGTGCAAGCCTCTCACGACGATTGGCTCAGAAAGTACACACCATATTCCATCAACCTGAGGGTGTGTTCGATTACCTCTGGATTTCACTTACTTCGAATCGTAGTGCATAATCCAGATCATTAGGTCGCCTAGAGCAGTGGGAGGGCATTTACTAAAAAAATCTCGTAGATGAAAGAAAGTGAAATTCTTTAATCTGTTTGTTTTCTTTAATTGAAAACACCATTATATAAGATAATTTCATGAACGGAGGAGGTGACTGATCACAGACTCCAAATGGGGGGGCGACTGGGAGAAGTCCTGTTGGGGCTCAACCACAAATTCTGGGGCGATTTATTACTGATCTCTTCCACTTGATCACAACCGCCATTTTTGTGTAAAAATAAAAAATTGCTCTGACAGCTTTTCGTAACTGAAACTGCAAAACAACAAGAGAAAAACTTCACTATTTATCGTCTTGCCTGCCGTCTCTTTGGGCCAGAGGAAAATCAGATGCAGTTATAATTCGTGATCACTGAAATTACCAAACATATCATTATTCACGTATATGATTTCCCCTGTTATCCATTTCACGCTTTATCTTATTTTTGTTTCAAGTTCATATTGAACCATAAAAGTAAAATAAAATCGAATAATTAAAAAACTTCATTATGATCACAAATCTTTGAGAAACGAGCGTAAGCACTCACGAGAATGACGGGAACGTATTTATCAGGTTTTTGCTCTCTTCCTCATCATCATTGTCAGCAGCAGCAGCGACAAAAACAACGGTAAACGCAGTACATTTTGGCGGTAGGATAATCGCGTAAAGCTTGTCATTTTGTAGTGTCACTATGTCACTATTAGCCCAAACAATCAATAAAATTTATTGAAAACAAAGCCCTGTGGTTACTGATGTCCTGTTCAAAGCCGTCTCTGAAATTGGCCGTGACCTTTTTGTTACCGCTGGAGCTTTGGTTTTTTTCATCACACACTTCTTCTGGATATACTTTTGTATCAGTTACGGTGACCTGAATGAATACATACAAAGCACTGAGTTTACTTTCTGTACGAGCATCCGTGGAATATATCAACGAATCGCCCTTAGGTGCTTTTCTTCGTTTTGTGAGAAATATGGTTTAAAGGATCACCAGAAATTCAACCGGTAAACGGCTAAAACCACGCCGAACGGAAAGTTGCACTTAACCAACGAAGTCTGAAGAGCATTGGTTTTCCTATCATCCTATCGTCGAATGTCTGCTCAAATCTCTCTAGGTTATCGGAAATCGGTCTTCGGATTCACTAAGCCGAGTACTCCAAAAGTTGTGTGCTACTTTTCCAAGAATCCGTCGAGGTTTAGATCGAAGGCTTCCAATTACTTCGGGCAGATAGATCACTAGAAAGAAAAACTAAACATGGCGGTGTCGTCACGTATGTGCGCCGGTCGTGTTGTAACTCCACTAAATGCATATTCACTGTTTTCACACAAAATATTTATTGTATTTCTGTGGAATGTAAACCACGATTTCTCCTGCGTCACTCTTCGGTCATCTTTTCAAATATATACATCACTCCCGACTGTATTCCTAGTGAGTTGTCTACCTTCCTGGTTATATTTTATCCAGTCATGTTAGAGAAATCCGTCGCATCTGTATTCACCGTTGCTGCCGAGGTCAACAGATCGGGTGTGAGTTTTAACACATTTGCTTTCCTTCAGAACACTGTTGATTTTTACACTCGGAATGATGCCGCCTTGGGGTATCTTTTGTAAACGAACAATCTTTTTTCATGCCTTCAAAGGTGCACAAGAGGACAATTCCGATCACTGTCTAATTAAATTTCTACTGACAATATGTGGTAAATGCAAACAGCAAATCCTGACGAAGAATAATGCACGTAAGGTACGAATAGGACAAAATCATCTGGTCAGTTTGATGGAATTAAAATCCATGGTTGCTGGTACTGACTAACAGTTACTATCCGATCCTGCTATTTCAGTCTTACGTGAGAACCTTTCCAACTACCTCAACTGTTGTTATGATGTGTGCTGCCCTCAAGATAGGATTCACCTACAGCCCAACCGATTCATCTCTGGTAGACTGAAATGGTGATGTGGGTTGGAAGAAAGGACGCATCAATGAAGGGATAAACTGACGGTCAAGTCTGTCAGCTTTCATATCAGAGGCGAGATAGCTCATCTCAATCAATTGTATGTTGACAACCGTCTAGGAGACAAGTTCTGCCATTAGCTATGGAACGGACTGAAGTTGCTCTGTGGTAGTTAAACTTAACCTACTACAGTATAATGTGACATCAATGAGCTCAACAAATCTTTTACTTCAGTAATGAATGTTATGCAAGCTTTCTCCAGTGCAAATACAACGTCACTTGATCTCCATCTTCCTGTGGCTGTCACAACAGAGCAAGTTTTAAAAGGGTTAAATGCTGTCAACAGAAATCAATCCCCTGATCTTGATGGGTTATCCCCTGTGGTCCTAAAAACATGCTCAAATCACCTCGCACAAACCGTTTTATTCATTTTTAATACCTGTCTGTTAAAAGGAAGACTAGTTAACACATAGTGTGATGTTCGCATCACTCCGGTACCTAAGAAAGAAAAGGGTCAGTTTCGGCCTATTACTTCATCTTCAGTATTAATTAAGACTTCTGAGCGAATTATTATCAAGCACCTATCCTCTAATCTTGATTTTCCTGGTTCCAATCAGTTTGCTTATTGTAAGCATCGTTCTACTTTAGATGTGGTTGATTGTCTTATACATTCTGTTCTATCCACTATAGACCAAAAGCACAAGATTGTTCATATTCTTTTGCACTACACGAAAGCGTTTAACTTATTTGAAGGAAGCATCCTACTGTCACTGATACGGCAACATAATCTCTGCCACATCTTTTGAGTTCGATGTACGACTATTTTACCGACCGGTACTAATTCACTTGTCTCACTGGTACTAGGTCTTCCCCTGTTACTGTAAGCCAAGGTGTAATGCGGGATGCAATTTTATCCTTTTTTCTATTCTCCTTTTACATCGTACATTTGCCATTCACCCCAGATGTTTTGATATTTAAATATACGGATGACCTAGTATTTGGTAGTGAATCTCACAACAGCAACTCTCCAACGAACCCAAGTAAATGAGTCATAAGTTCCATTTCTGGATGGTCCGATGTTGTTACGCTTTCATTAAACCCGAACAAATGCATGAAAGTTTTGCTTTCCATTAACCGTAGGCCATTAACACTTCTCTACCGTTATCTTCCCCGTTTTTTTTGTCTAAAATTTTCGCATTACTTAGACGCTCTCTGAAAGGCATCTCTAGATATGCAGCAGTATTTTTTGAGGAGCTGGTTGATTTCATCGTCAACCAAGACCTGAAGGAATGTGACCGTCTGTTTGAATCTATCTTGTCCGATGCACCACATCCTTTACACTCAGCCCTATCTCGCTCCATTTCAGCTTCTGTCACCCGCAATAAAGGTAAATCGCTATATACTCTTAATACTGCTTTTCACAACTCCGTTGTACCTTACCTTCAACGTTTGTTGGTTCCCAAGGAAAGAAATATCAAACCAACTCAAACACAGCCTAATGTAAATTTTCACGCTGAAGTTTTCTTCGTTTGTTACCCGTTCTCAGTGTCCTCTTCATTATCAGCTAAGTAATTATTTATCGCATCGTTAAACTCATTTTTAATGGCGTGTATGCCAAAGCAAAAGTGATAACATTCTTTTCACTGAAAATTCTGTCCACATTCGATGAACAAAGTGCACTATTGACTTGGCTTGACTGTGTGTGCTACGGNAGGATAAACTTTCCCCTACTAAAGTCGATGAGACGACAAAAAGGACTTTCGTACTAGTTTCACAATGCCTCAGCTGTCGGATATTTCTCCAGGCTTGTCAAAGCTGAAGTAAATAAATTGAACGCATTATTCTCTGATCAAATTCTGAGGACTGGAAACAGCAAACACCTGTGGCAAGGTATAAGGTTTCTCTGTGGAAGGAAGAATGTACAATCGAAGCCGAACGTGGATGCTGATGATCTCAATGCCGCATTCCTGCGCCAGTCATCGGACAATCTTCCTGCCTACTCGTCACATAATGTTTGTAATGTAGAACCATTCTCAAATCGTGATGTGTTGAAACTTTTAAAAAGTTGCAATGCGACTTCTGCTGCAGGTCCGGATGGCTTACATCTAGCCCTCTTTAAATTTGGTGCTGCTTCCCTAGCTGGGGCAATTACCTTCATTATCAATGAATCTCTTCACACTTCTACTGTTGTAGGCCGGTCATAATCATACTGATCCCCAAAGTACCCAAATCTTCTATTCTCTCCAAACGTTTTCGTCCCATGGCATTAATACCTTCAGCTGATAAGTTGACTGAAAAGACTATCCTTAAACGCCTTCAGCAGTCTATAAATATTCTCAGTAATCCTTTACAGTTTGCTTACAAGTCTAATAGATCCACCTTGGAAGCAATCTCCACCCTCATTCATTTTATCACTAAATCGTTGAACAACTCTGTTAAGTCTGTCCTGTGTGTTTTTCTGGACTACTACTCAGCATTTAATTCCATTCCTCGATCTAAGTTGTGACAAAAACGATTGATTGGTTTTTTTGATGTTTGAATATTGTTACATATATAAACAGCGTGATATTTATTGTTGTATTTAGCACGACTACGAACCACTGAAAACGAGCTTTTTCGCCACTCTTTGTTCTATTTTAATGCGCTTCGTGGGACTGTTTAGAAAATTT